AATAAAGACACGAATAAAGACATAAATAAAGACAAATAAAGACATAAATAAAGACATGAATAAAGACATAAATAAAGACAAATAAAGACATAAATAAAGACATAAATAAAGACATAGACGTGTTTTCAGGTGGATTATAATAGTGTGTGTCAGGATATAACCTGCTCCCATCAGTGAACGATGAACTTGTGAGTTTGTTCAGTTTAAATGTGACGGTGCTGAAAGGTCAGAGGTCACCTGGTCTCACCTGGTCTGTAGCTCCTCCTCCTCACCTCTGTTCGGGTCCCCTTCAGAGACGAGACCTTCATCATTATTCTGCAGAGAAGAGGAGCAGACGGGAGGACGGACAGATGGACAAAGGTTGGACACAAACAGACGAACTGGACCTGAAAGGTCAGCGTCACTCAGAGGTTTCAGCTCCAGCTCGTCTCACAGAAACAAACACACACTTTTCTGAAACTCACACAACAAATGTTTGTGTTTCATTTCCTGTGGAGGGTCCTCAGTTTCACAACACACAAAACTGGTTTCACATTGTCCAAACTGTGGATTTCTCTGTCCCCCTATGTCCACTCAGACTGGACATCTCATSTGTCCTACGTGTGTCAGACTTACAGAATTATCTTTATTCCAGTGGGATTATGGTTTTAATCTGTAGKTGTTTGTGGGCGTGGCCTCTGGAGGTAAACTAGTTCTTCTCAGACCAGCAGAAAATGAAGAGGTTGTTTACATAATCCTGGATGAATAAACATGAGATGGTTTATGAATAAACATTGTTCACACACACACACACACACACACACACACACACACACACACACACACACACACACACACACACACACACTGCTGGGAAACCTCAGCAGGTCATAAATATTCATGCAGCGATGTGTTCTCACACTCCTCCTCCACTCCTTCACTTCCTTGTCTCCTCTTTCCTCCGTCACTCCCTCACCTTCAGATTATCTGACATGAAGCAGATTAAACCAGTTAAACCAGTTAAACCAGTGAACCTGCTGCTTCAGGACAGACGACGCCCCCTGCAGGAGCTGCAGGAAACTGTAACTTTTCATTTTAAACAGATAAATCAGATCAGTCCTCTGATTACTTCTGTTTGTCTGTTAGTAAAATATTCACAACACTTCCTGCTGTAAGAATGTTTCATCCAACATCCATCCATCCAACATCCATCCATCTGTCCATCATCCATCCAACATCCATCCATCATCCATCAATCCATCTATCATCCACCCATTCATCATTCATTCATCCATCCAACATCCATCCACCCATCCATTCTTCCATCATCCATCCATCCATCCATCAAACATCCATCCACCCATCCATCTGTCCATCATTCATCCATCCATCCACCCATCCATTCATCATCCATCATGTTCCAGAGTCTTGTCTGGGGGGCAGCAGCTTGATCAGGGGGTCCAGACCACAGGTGAGTGCAGGACTGTAGGTAAACAGAGAACCTCTCTGTGCAGCTCAGCTCCTCTGATCTACAACGGACCAGAACCAAGTCCAGAGTCCAGAGTCCAGAGTCCTGCACATTAAACCTGGTCCACATCAGAAACACTTAGCTCAAACTCAAAGGTGTTTGTTTTAATCAGACATTTATTAAAGTTGTAACAGTTAAAGAGATCAGGGGGTCCCAGGGTTTGGGTTGGGCCCCTGGTCCTGTGGTGGGGTTGGGGGGGGGTCATACGGCCATTTTAAATGTCTGCTTATGGAATTTTATCTCCAGAATTGTTCTGAACATTCAGAACTTGTAACAGTTTGTGTTTAAATGTTTTCAGATTATTGGTTGAATAAAGAGCAGAGGGGTTTGTTTTGACAGCAGGACGCTGCCACCTGGTGGCCAAACCACCACAGAACAGCTCTTTGAGCACTGCACAGTCTGACCTTCAGGGTGACAGAATGATGGGCTTTAAATGGCCTTCGACCTTCAAAGAATGCTGCATAATGAGGTAATAATTATTTTAGTTTAACAAATGATGAACGGTTGTTTTAATGTTGGATGTTGTTAAGAATAAACGCAGACGTTGTCTCTGCTCCTCTTTAATGACTCAAACAGTTTCAACATGAATAAATTAAAACATTTCGTCTTCGTGTCTCAGACCGACACCAACCCTTCAGCTGCTCGTCTCGACCCAACAGAACCCGTCCAGGAACCGTGGGCTCAACACAAATGTTCGTGCAGCTCAGGAGGGAAACCCGGGTTCTGATCGTCCCGCTGCGGTCACGTGATGAGTGACGGGTGGAAGGCGGCCAATCAGAGCCCGGCTCTCAGGTGCGCCTCCTCTTGGCGCCTCCTGGACTCGCTGGGTTGGAGGAGGACAGCAGCTTCTCCGCCGCTCGGCTCCTCTTCCTCTTCTCCGCCTCCTTGGAGGCTCCTCCCCCTCCTCCTYCCGAGGCTCCGCCCTCACTGCCCACCTTCTCCTTCTCCCGGCTGCCGCTCGCTCGCTCCGACGTCTTCACTGACGAGTTGCTTCCTGCGGAGAGGAACCGGGGTTTGGGTGAGTCCTCCTCAGATCTGGACCYGGCCTGACATCAGGCTGTGTTCTGATTGGTCCACAGACAGGAGGAGGAGTTACCTTCTTCATGAGTAGCAGGAGGTTCTCGCTCCATTCTCACCTCCTCCTTGGTCTCCTCCTCCGAGCCCAGCTTCCCTGAAACAGGAACCAGAACCACACTGAAACTGGGTCAAAGAGACCAGGACCAGCAGGAGCAGAGTTTCCTCCCTCACCTCCTTTCACTTCCTGGATGATGTCATCAGGCAGCGAGAAGCTCTTCTCTGCATTGGGAAAGGGCAGGATCTCCGACTCGTGCTGCGTGGAACACACACCTCCATCAGACGGGTGTGTGTCTGTGTGTGTCTGTGTGTGTCTGTGTGTCTGTGTGTGTCTGTGTGTCTGTGTGTGTCTGTGTGTGTGTGTGTGTGCTCACCAGAGCCTGCATGTCGTACATGGTTCCCAGGTGGTCCCAGATGACGGAGGAGGAGACCTGCCGGCCGATGTTCTGACTGAACTTGTCTCTGATGCAGATCATGTGAAAGTGACGGTTCACTCCTGAAACCAGAGACCAAAGACTGCTTCCTTTACAGCCTTTCAAAATAAGAGTCTATGGTTTAAACCAGTGGTTTCTCCCTGCTTTCACACACCTGACTCAGGTGACTGCAGCTCAATCGAGGAGTAACGACGTCTCTACTGTTATTAAAAGCTGACACGGGTCGTCCTGAGGCACAGAGGAGCTTTGT